TGTAGGACAATAGTAGATTGTATTCATTAACTCCATTTACATTCAGGACATAAAGACAAGACTTTACACTTCCTAACAGATTACAGAGTGGTGGAGGGAGATGTGTCTAGTGACCGGATAGCAGAGGGTGGAGGACAGGCGTCAGGGAACTTGCCTGGAATCTCTGATCACCTTCTATTATGTCCTCAGCGGACTTCTGGTGACAGTGAGCAGCCTTAAAGAGCCACTCCACCCAAAACCCGAATTTTACTATTTGGTGAAGACTAAAGAGTTCAATCTCACAAAAGTGTCTTCCAATGACCCCTGCTCTGTACATCCCTCAGCACTCACAAGGGGGCCCTTTCTTCATTTTTACCTTATTGTTTTTTATAGCCAAAGATGGAAGACCACAAATCGGAAACAGCCAGGTAGACAGTTGCAGCAGAAGGTGTGAGACTTCAAACTGGGTATAGAGCTTGTTATTGGAGTCTCAATAAGATATAAAAAGCCAGGAGGCAACCCAGCCTTCTCAATTCCACCTGATACTGAAATGCCATTTTTGTGTGGCTGTCCATATGAATGAACATTGGCCAGGAAGGTGTATTACGTCTAAGTTCCTCCTAATCAGCTCATGTGTTGGCCCATCAATAGGATGTGCGATCTGGAAAACGCAAAGGCCATCTGCTTGTCAGTGAGGTGACTGTTGTATTCATTATTTGTCCCATACAGCATAAGTCAGACAGGCTGCCCAACATGGGGTCCCCCTGTGGTGACAACCCTATTTATGATTGGGGTGCAGTCTGATGACATATCACGTGACAGGGTATTTACAGACAAAATGAGATTGCCCCCACATGGACAGATTTGTGGAAGGTGACTCTACACAATCTATCATCTCTTAAAAGATTGCCCCCATGCAGCCTCCTCAACGGTTCCCACCGACTCGTAGAACTCAAAGTGCTGTTAGTGGACTGAAATTGATGGGGGGTTTTTCCGAAATAAGTTTCATTATGCTGAAAAAATACCTTTCATATCCTACAACTTGGAATCAGTCCCAAGTGACATCAGAATCACATGGGGTATGATCAGCTTTACCCTACATGTGATGTATAAATAGGAAATAGATAACACCAGCCTGTATAATAAT